TCTTTATTAATTTTTATCGAGTCCAAAAAATTTAGTTCCGTTTTTTTCAACTTCTATTTACTCGATTAAAATTGAGTTGAGTATTTCCTGCTGATTTATATTATTATTATTTGTATTTTCTTACTTTTAAGTTGTTTTCTGCTATTTTATTTTGCTTTAACTTTGACTGTTTAGTAATCCTTATTAAAATTTAATTTTTTATGAAATCTTCATTTCTTCGTTCATTTTGTTTACGAGTTAAACATTGGTTTGAAGGTCATCTGCTCTATTCTGATTAAATTAACTTTCATTTATTTTCTCAAAAATTGTATTTTCTTTTCCCAAATTTAAGTTCTAGTTAAGTATTTAATCTTTTTAAACATACATAGATTTTCGAATTTCATTTATGTTGTTTTCTTGATTGTTTTCTTCTTTATCATCGTAATTAAATACAGAATTGACCATTTATTAATTAAGCTAAAGCTAAGAAAAATTTGAACAAATTATAAATCCTATCGCAAACAGAGACTGTGAAAAACCACCAATTTAAGATAAGATGTCTGTAAGTTTTGAATAGCTTCTTTGATAAACTCCTTCTTTTTATTTCTCAAATTTAAAGGTAGCACTAAAAAAGTAACTCTGAAAGTTGGGTGGGTAAACCTTTTAATAATTTAGATTATGAATAAAACGTTAAAATAATAGATAAATATATGAATGGTTTTAAAAGACTTAATTTTTGTTAAAAAGTATAAATAGTAAATTTAATTGAGATTAATTTACATAACTCTCATAAAAGCTATATGAAGGGAATTTCTAAACTTAAATATCAGAAGAGATCCACCCAAAATCGCTATATACATAATTGTTTCTTAAATATATAATAACATCTTTAGGTAAATTAACACTAGTTGGCCAATACATATCTCTTGAATAGATCTTGAAAGGATTGCTTTTAATGGTGGGATCAACATAAGAATCAGAAATTTGCATTGCGAATCCACTTTTAAGCAAATAATAGTTTATCTCTTCTTTTGATTTACAATTTGTTTAACATTCCTATACAACAAACTAAATTTGCTAAAATACAGGAGAAGGGAAATCTCCTTAAATTGATAGCTATTCATCAGGAGAAAAGCAGTACATATTTGTGTAATTCAATTTCAAGTAATAGTCTGCATTTTCAGGATTTTAAAAGTTATCCTTTGTGCATGCTTACACTTTAATATCTCTATTATCCCAAACTGTATCATATTACTAAGTTTGATTATTAAATACTAAGTATTTTTGCTAAAGTTATGCTTTAATTATATAAATACTTTCATCAATGTAGTAATTATAAGTCACAGGATCTTCCATACCAAATGCTAATGGAAAGCTAGTACTAGTTGCAATAAACTAAGCAGGGTTATCCACTTATCGTTCACTGTATATTACAGTTGGGTCTGTCCTTTATGAAACACTCAAAAGTATTGAAACAAAGCGAAATAATATGATACCAATTATTGAAAGTGTTACTGTCGATCCTAATTTAGATTTGTAAGTAGATTCTCCATTAAATCTTAAGAAAATTTAGCTTCCAAATATATCTATTTTGTTCAATGAAGCTAACATAATTTATAGTTGATAGATAGATAGTAAGTGTTGTTTCTTATCCTTAATTCTACTAGAATTTTTACTTTTCTTTTATTTATGAAATTAATTAAATATATATTTTGTAAATTATTTCAAATCAGTATTTCTTTTAAATCAAAATTATCTAAATACATGAAAAGTTTATAAAAAATAAAATTCTATGTGAGTTATTCTTATTTTAATGAAAAAATGATAATAATTCAATCGATCAGTACGCTATTTGAATGAAAATAAAATTCATTTAAGTAAAGTTAAATTATTTTTCATATGTTTTTTTAAATAAATGTTTCAGTAATTTAAGCGAGCAAATTTACAAAAAGTTATTTGGGATAATTTTTATATTCAAAAATGTAAATGATAAAACATCTAAAATAAAAGTTATTTTTAATTATCAGAGTAAGGGACGAGTTAACTTTTTAATAACTAATCCACAAATTTTGTTAATTCAGTGAATTCAAAATAAATATATACTGCTAATACATACTATCAACTGTGAATAATTTTTTTAAAAAGCTAACGAATTAAAAAATATTAAATATAAACATCTTTATTTTTCTGAATAAAAATTTTAAAAATTATTATTGAAATATTACATTAATAATATTGGTATCAACACTATGTTAAAATTAGAATTTGATATATATTCAAAAAATTTTACTATCTCTTTATTTTTGTGATCCATATATATCAATTATATGAATCTTTATTTAGATTATTTAATATGAATAAAATCTTTCAAAGATTATAAAACATTTATAATAATACAGTTTAAATAAATATTTAAATAGAAATTAATTTTATAACTTTGAAATTTAGGAAATTAGTGCAAAAACAAACAAAAAAAGAAAAATAGATAATTAGAAAATTTTTATTTACGTGGAAATATACATATTTTGTAGATAGATATATGTATAGAAAGTTACAAAATTTCAATTTTATTTAAAACTAACTATTTATATTTTCATAATTTTGTAAAGCTCATTTCACACATTTTTTAATTTTCGAAAGGCTCAAGCTTCTGCATTGCTACTTCGTATTTTTCTTCTGATGCTATTTCTTCTTAAAATGTTTTATCATGTAATGGAGTTTAATTGCTAATACTAACATTATTTTATTAATCCTATTTATTGATCGTTTCTTTTACTTCATCGACTTAACAATACTATGAGATATTGGCATCTAAATTCTATTGAGCTATTCTAGAAGATTCTAACAAATCTGGAGAGTTACATGTCCTTATTTGAGATACTTCTTCAGAATTTAGTTGAGCAGCTGTCATATCTTTCTATATTAAAGTATTTCTATTTGACTAAAAAGCATCTTATGTGACAATTTTTGATTAAAATATGCTTTATTTTATTTAGTTTGGAGAATTTAATATATCAAAATTGTTTTTGCTATTATTCATATTACTCTATACATTAAAAACTGAAACTAAGTTAGGATCGAGCATTTCTATTATTTTTTAATCAAGCAAACTATGCTCTTGTCTTGCTTAAATATTTTTATATGCTTCGAAAGCATCTTTCACTCTCTAGAATTCAGAGCGATTGTCTTAATAAAGTAAATCTACTTCTTAGCTTTTTGAAACATTTTGATTGGCAGCGTTTTTCAAAATCAAATAGGGATTAATAGTGGGTTTTGGTAAATAATCAAATAACTTAATTTAATCTGAATTAAGGAGTAGTCTCTTAAGCTTTTCTACTTCAATAAGTCTCTTAAGGATGTTCATGATATCTAGATTGTAATAAAGTTTATCTATGCTATAGCTGATAATCTTTTTTTTGTCTTTCAAGTATCCACAAGGATAAATGACTGATTTGAAGTATTCCCAAATACTTAATTTCATACTTTTTGTTTACTTCGACATTAGCTCATCGAAGCGATTTTCTATCAATTTCTGCTACTTCTCATAGAGCTTCTACTTTTCATGATAGAATTTATCTTAAATTATTTATTAATTTTTATCGAGCCCAAAAAATTTAGTTCCGTTTTTTTCTACTTCTATTTGCTCGATTAAAATTGAGTTGAGTATTTCCTGCTGATTTATATTATTATTATTTGTATTTTCTTACTTTTAAGTTGTTTTCTGCTATTTTATTTTACTTTAATATTAACTATTTTGTAATCCTTATTAAAATTTCATTTTTTATGAAATCATCATGTCTTCATTCATTTTGTTTACGAGTTAAACATTGGTTTGAAGGTCATCTGCTTTATTCTAATTAAATTAACTTTCATTTATTTTCTCAAAAATTGTATTTTCTTTTCCCATATTTAAGTTTTAGTTAGGTATTTAATCTTTTTGAATATTCATAGATTTTTGAATTTCATTCATGTTATTTTCTTGATTATTTTCTTCCTTATCATCGTAATTAAATACAGAATTGACCATTTGTTAATTAAGCTAAAGCTAAGAAAAATTTGAACAAATGATAAATCCTATCGCTAAGAGAGACTGTGAAAAACCACCAATTTAAGATAAAATGTCTGTAAGTTTTGAATAGCTTCTTTGATAAACTCCTTCTTTTTATTTCTCAAATCTAAAGGTAGCACTAAAAAAGTAGCTCTGAAAATTAGGTGGATAAACCTTTTAATAATTTAGATTATGAATAAAAATGGTAAAATAAATCATTGATAAATAAAAGAACGATTTTTAAAGACTCTTATTTTTTTAAAAAAAAATAGTAAATTTAATTGAAGAATAATTTACAAAATTTTCATAAAAGCTATATGAAGGGTAATTCTAAACTTAAATATCAGAAGAGATCCACCCAAAATCGCTATATACATAATTGTTTCTTAAAAATATAATAATATCTTAAGGTAAATTAACACTAGTTGGCCAATACATATCTCTTGAATATATTTTGAAAGGATTGCTTTTAATGGTAGGATCTACATAAGAATCAGAAAGTTGCATTCCGAATCCACTTTTAAGCAAATAATAGTTTATCTCATCTTCTGATTTGCAATTAGTTTAACATTGCTATACTACAAAATAAATTTACTAAAATGTAGGAGAAGGGAAGTCTCCTTAAATTGATAGCTACTCATCTGGAGAAAAGCAATACATATTTGTGTAATTCTATTACAAGTAATAGTCTGCATTTTCAGGATTTTAAAAGTTTTCCTTTGTGCATGCTTATACTTTAATTTCTCTGTTATCCCAAACAGTATCATATTACTAAGTTTGATTATTAAATACTAAGTATTTTTGCTAAAGTTAGGCTTAAACTGTATAAATACTTTCATCAATGTAGTAGTTTCTAGTGACAGGATCTTCCATAGCAAATGCTAATGGAAAACTCGTGCTAGTTGCAATAAACTAAGCAGGATTATCCACTTATCGTTCACTGTATATTACAGTTGGGTCTGTCCTTTTTGAAATACTCAAAAGTATTGAAATGAAGCGAAATGATATTATGCCAATTATTGAAAGTGTTACTGTCGATCCTAATTTAGGTTTGTAAGTAGATTCTCCATTAAATCTTAAGAAAATTTAGCTACCAAATATATCTATTTTGTTCAAAGAAGCTAGCATAATTTGTAGTTAATAGTAATTGTTATTTCTTATTCTTAATTCTACTAGCGTTTTATGCTTTACTTTTATTTATCAAGAATATTTTATGAAATTCAATATATATTTAGTATATTATTTCAAATAATATTTTTTTGCAATTTAATCGAACTTAATTAAACACAAGAAGAGTTTTTAAAAAAAATTCTATTCAAATTATTCTAGATGTTGAAAGGAAGAAGTATAATAATTCAATAGATAAGTCAGTCAGTATACAATTTAAATGAAAATAAAATTAATTAAAAATTAGTTAAATAGTTTTCTAGTGTTTAGTTGTATAAATGTTTAAATAATTAATATAAGGAGGAAATTAACAAAAATTTATTTATGATAATTAAAATTAAAACATCTAAATCAAAAATAAAACAGTTTTTTCTTTCAAATTTTAAAAACAAAAATTATCCCCACTAAAATATTGTTTCATACTTAATTATAAAAAATAAATTTCTAACAAATTAAATGAAGACAATAAATAATTTTTGTTAATTTATATGTTTAATTATTCTTTAGAAAAAAAAAAAATTTAAAAAGCAAATCAATTAATAAATCAATTATTAATTTTTAATTGTAAAGTGCTAACTTTTATAAATTATAGATAAGTAATTGAATCTCTAAAATTAAATAACTTAGTTACTTAGTCAATTTTTAATGTTTTCTATAAAATTAAAATAAATAATGCACAAAATTTATTTTAATCATTTAAAATATATTTAATGAGAAATCAACTTAAGATATTGTTCAAGTTAACAAGCCTCCTTATTTTTAAGGATTGTCGTTTGTGATTTACCCTTTATCTGTAAGTCGCACAAAAGCTATTATATAAAAGATAGAATAAATGTTTTCAAATTTAAAAAAATACCTTGCATTCATAACCAGCATTTTAATATTTTTGCAATTAAGAAATTCTAGTGATTTGAAAAACATTTCATCTTGACTAATTAATTAATTATAATAAAAATGTTAAAATCTTTTTTTAGTATCCAAAGTAGCTTCTTATTTACAAAAAGACGATTTTCAAAGTAAATAAAAATGGCAGTTTACTTAAAGTAACTCCTATTTTTTATCCTTCTTCATTACTAAAATCATTATAGCTATCAAACAAAAATAATTTAAATATTTTAATTAATTATCATTTAGATTATAATCTGAAAAATGTATTTAAAAATCATTTAAAAGTCAAAAAAATACATTAAGTTTAGCTTTAAAACTTAGAGATTTATACATTTTTCTAATCCTTCGCGTAGAGCTTTAACACCTAAATCTTGAATCTAATTATCCCTATTTTTATTTATTTATTTACAAAAAAAAAAATTTATTTAAATTTTATTAATTATTTTCTTTATGATTTCATTTAAATTATAAAGAAAAAAACTAAAATATTTTTAGTAATAATAAATACCACAAAATAACTTCTAAATCTGTAAGTTAATGACAAAAGCTCAATCCTGTCCCAATGATAATAGCTCCATCGTCTTTAATTTAATTTTCGCTTAAAATATTTAAATTAATTTTTTAAGTTAATATTTTATTTGTTTAGTTATTAAAATTAATATTTAGGAATGACAAGAATGATGATGATTAAAATAATCTTAAAAAATAAATCATAAACTAATTTTATTACTATAAATATATATTTATTTTTTTGAGATCTTAACAATTTCTAAACCATTCTTTTAATGGCATTATTCCTTGACAATCTATTTAATTTCCCCTTTTAAATTCATAATAAAAAAAATTTTTTAATGTTTCATTTGATATTTGAAATTTAAACTCTTACGAAAAATGAAGTGTAAGAGCATTAAGCTTTGTGCACTAGCTATATTCGAATCCTAATTTAGTTATTCCTTCACTTAGATTTTAATTTTAGCTTATTTAATTTAAGTGAAAAATTTAATTAAAAAAAAATTATAAAAATTATAATTACAAAAAAATATATAAATTTGTCAGATTTTAACATTAAATTAAGCCTTAACCAACAGCAGTAACACCTATGTCACTTATTTTATTTTCCCTTAATTTAGATTATGCAGAATTAATTATAAAATGATTAATTTTAATTAATGATAAATGTTTTTTAAACAAATGTACGATAAAACAAGTTTTAAAGTTGTAAGCTTGCTACATTTGCTTAGACCTTATCCTATACTAGTTACTCCCTCGTCTCCAATATGATTATGGCTAATTAATTATTTAAATAAGTTGGAATAATAATAATTTATTGATTGATATGCAGCGATATTTGCAACAAATTTAAAAAAAAAAATTGATTGATTATTAAATAAGAAAGAAAGATCAAATAAATTGAAGTTACAACAAATTGATATCTGAATCAATTAGATTTGAACATCTGCTTAAACCTTCACCTAAAGCTTTAGCTCCTTTGTTTCCTATTTTATTTTTGCTTTTTTTTATAAAAAAGATTAATTGAACTCTTTGAACTAATAATACATTTTATATATTTTATTTTCTTCACATAATATACAATTTTAAAAGATTATTAAATTTAATTTTTACTATAGAAATAATATAAGCTTTGTCATATTTTAGAGGTAGCCAATTCCTAAGCCTAAATTTATAGCCACTTAATCACTGCTATCATCATTGTCTATTTCTGAGATAATATTCTCACTTTTAAATTATGTTTAATTTTATTTATTATATAATAGAATATTATTGAATATTTTAATTTTCATAAAAAAATTATCTAAATAAGTAAACAGTTAACTGTAAGTATAGCTCTAAACTTTATAGGTTCTAGCAGTATTGTAAGCCTTCACCTATAGCTGATGCTCCTACATGACTTATTTTATTATCACTTAGAATTTATAAGAAATATATTAAAAATTTGATATTTATTTTATGATAAAAAATTATTTATAATTATTTTTTAATTTTAATTTACGATAAAACAATGTCAACTGCTGTAAGTTTAGTGCATTTGTTCAAAATTGTTTTTAGGCTAGAAATTGCTTAATCCCCAATATCGTTTTAGCTTAGTTCATATTTTTTAAATATTAAAATTAAAGCTGATTCAATAAGTTAAATAAATTTAAATGATTAAATTTACAATAAATTTAATTCCAAATTTGTAAGATTTTAGCATTCACTTATTGCTTAAATTATTACTTCAGCTCCATCACTTCCTAATGAATTTTGGCTATTTTAATTTCAAATTAATTTCATAAATTAAAATAATTAATTTTGATTAAAATAAATACTCAAATAAAAAATATTATTAGAAAAATAATAATTTTACTGAAGCCAAACTTTTAAATGTTTTAAGCTTTAACACTTATTTAATCCTTCGGCAAGTTATTTAACTCCTGAGAGACTTAACTCATTTAATCTATTAAAGTTTTGAAATAAATTAAATACTTTTCAAAGTATTAATTAAAAAACTAAAAATAAAAATATATTGTACCCAAACTCAAGTTCAAGGTGCTAAATATTAGTTAGCTACTTAAGAGCTTTGACTAATTCAGAAAAATTATCTTCTGCAATGCTGTTTTCTCTTTTAATTAATTAGGGATTATAAAATAAAAAAGAAGATTAACAATTATTTTATTTACGTGAAACAAAGCTTTAGAGTTGAAATATTGTTAGACTTTTGTAAAAATTATCCTATTGTATTTAAGCCCTGTTCACTAATATTATTATAGCTATTTTTATATAAATATATTTAAACTAATACTAAATTATTTTTATTGCAAAGTTAATTTTGAAGCAAATAAATAAACACATTCATTCATTCAGTAAAATATCTACATTCAAGTATTAAAAAAAATATAAAAATAATTTTACTTGAAGTTTAAGCCTAAATTACTTAAATTGTTCAGTTCGTGCAAATTATTGAATAATTAAATGATCTATTAATCATTGATATTGCCGTTTCTAATTAATAAATACATTAAAATTTTTTAAATTTAATGAATGAACAATAATTGTTTTACATAAGCGAAATATTTAGTGTTTAAATTTCCTTGCATTTTTATAAAGAGAGGTTAATTAAAGCAATTTCTTTGATTGAAACATTTTAATTCCTATTTTTTAATAAAGAGTTTCATAAATTAAAATAAAAGATCATTTTAAGAAAAAGCTATTCCAATTAAAATAAAAATAAATAAAAAACTTTACAATTTAAAACATTTTTAAAAAAAGATAAATAAATTTAAAAAAATCCAAAAATCTAAAGATAGATAAATAGATAGAATGATAGAATGATACCTTAATGACAAACTAATATTATTTTATTAACTTAAGTTAGATTTTAGAAACTTTTTTTAATAAAAAAAAGGTTTTAGATAAATAATTGTAAAAGCAATATTCAGTACATCTTCTAATTTATTAAAATTATTATTTTGTTATTAAATCATTTTTTATGTTATTAAATTTTGTTAATTTATATTTATTTATTAACGTTCTAAGTCTTTTATCTTTCTAACAAATAATAATAATTAATTTAATCAACAAATATTTTTTATTTATAATTCAATCAATATTTAATTGAGTAAACAAAAAAATATATATTTTATTATAATAAAGTTTATGTATTTAAATATTTTATTTCTTTATAAAAATAAGGCTTTAACATATGATTAACAAAATATTAGAAGAGATAATTATAAACATATAAAGTTGTTCTGAGTTTTAAAATATTTATATATATATGACTAAAAGGATGTCTACATGTTATTTTTACCTTTTTTAAATCAGAATTTATCTGATCTAAAGTTTTGGTTTGTAATTAATGTATTCAAATATAAACAGAATTGAACTATCAATCAATCATACATACATAATATATTCTATTTAATAAATATTCAATTTAAAAAAAGTGATTTATTTATTTATTTATCATAATAAATATCAATAAAAAATTTTGAACTTTTTAGTAATGCGAAAATTAATTTTAAGATTAGATTAATTTAATTTAAATTATTATTGTGTAATAGAATTTGTAAAAAGAAAATTTTAAAATAAATAAATAAATGCGATGTTGTCAAAATCCTTTAAAAGCAATCTAATATATTCATAATATTAATTAAAAACATTGAGATTACAATTTATTGATTTTGTTTACATATATTAATTTTAAATAAATCAAATTTAGATAAAAATAAGTCTCTAAGGTTGGTTATAAGGATCTTTATTTTACTTAATTAATTAGATTAATATTGACTGGTTTTGGTAAAGGCTCTAAAATATTTTTACCTAATATCATTCTTAATCTTTTAACTTTCTTCAAATAAATTTAATGTGTGTGGATTAATCAAAAAATAAGGAAAATAGAAATTAAAAGTACCTAATTATATAAATAATTTAAAGAAAAATAATAAATTAATTTGGAAATTTTTTTGATAAGATTAATTTGAACACCATTTTATGCTTAAAAAGATTGTGGGGGGGTTGATGATAATTAATGAGAAACTACGGTATTTTAAAAAAATATAATTTTATAATTTTCGAATAGAATTTTAAAAGCTCTGTCTGACTCATTACTAATTTGTATCAAAAGTTTTGATATGTAATTAATATATTAAAACATAAATAGAATTGAACAAATAATCATATATAATATATTCTTTAAATAATTCTAATAATTATTCATGTTAAAAAAAGTGTATTTATTTATCAAAATAATTATCAATACAAAATAGCAAAAATTAAAGATTATTAATTATTGTATAATAGAATTTATAAAAAGTTTAAAAATAAATAAATGCGATTTCGTCAAAATCCTTAAAAAATATCTAATATATTCAGAATATTAATTAAAAACACTGAAATTAATTACACTTAATAGATTTTGTTTACTGATATAAATTTTAAATGAATCAGATTTAGGATATGATATGTCTCTAAGGTTATAACGATATCTATTTTACTTAATGATCTTAAATAATTTAAGATTGGTTTTGCTTAAAACTACAATATCTTTACCTAATACCTTTCTTAATATTTTAGTTTCCCTCAAAATATTTGTAAAAATTTATCAGAAATAAAGTGTATATGCGTGAATTAATCAAAAATGAAAATAGAAATTAAAAGTACCTAATTTTATAATAAATTTAAAGAAAAATAACAAATTAATTTAAAAAAATATTTGATAAAATCTATGCTTAATACTGATAATAACAATTATATTCAAAAGATATACTAAAAATCTGTCAGTCTTCATTAATATTAATAAAGTGAATGTGATAAATATGATCATAGATATACACAAGAAGAGGATATAGACGTATAAGCAGAAGAATTATAAGCTGGTATTGACTCAGAAGGACAAATATAAGAAGAAGATATAGGTGAAGGAGATGAATAAGATTTAAAAGAAGATGAATTAGAAATTTATGATAGATGGAGTTATAAATGTGAAAATGAGGCTAAATATTATAATAAATCAATTTATAAAGAAATAAAATCTTAAAAAGCAAATGATGTATTCATTTTTGAAGAGAATGCTGATTAAACGAGTAAAGCACTTACACATAATGAGAAATACATAATCTACTAAAGAAAAGATGATCTCTTAAAGGCTATTAACAAAGTAATGCTCTATTAAGAGTACAATAATCTTGTTGATTATCACCCTAATGTCAACTCTATAAGCGGAGAAATAAAATAACTTGTTGATTAGGAAATGGAACAAAGATAAAATTAATGGTACTATCCCAAATAAGAGAATTAAAAAAAATAAAGCATAGAAGACATTGTGAAAGTAAGAAATATCATTCATCAGTCTCTTATGCCTTATCATAAGGATTATACTTAGTCTCACAAAAAAGGTGAAATCGAAGAGTATTTTAAAAGAGTAAAACAAATGGAAGATGGTTATGATTAGTGGGGTAAATAATATAAAGCTTCTTTATCTGAATTTTTATGGCTTCCTGCTGTATTTGCTTACTCTGAACAGAATAAAATGTATGAAATCCAAGGTAAACTATTTACTCCTTTGGAAAAATTTCATGACCTAAGTGAGTTTAAGTTAGAATTAGGCTATTTAATGACTTATTTCTCCAAACCCCTTTAGTAAACTCATGACTATTTTATGAATTTAGGTTATTAAATTTTAAATGAGTATTTTGATGATGATCTCAAGAAGATTTATGATGAAAAATCAAAAGTAGATTTTTCTCAAAAAATTCATGCCATAGTAAAAATAAGCGAAATGGAAATTGCTCCTTAAAGCACTTATTCAGGCTAATGGCATGTTGAGGGTTTTTCATCTGATAACATTATTTACACTTGTCTTTACGTTATTTAGCATGATGAGAATTTGATTGATGGAAGACTGAAATTTAAAAGAACTCCTCGTGAATCTGATGATCCTAAAAAACGTAGGCTACAAGAATAATGTGCTCACACATACTGCCCTAATTATAAATATTTATGTGATCCTCATAAAGTAATTCCTCTTGGCTCTCTCGATATCAAAGAAAATCTGATGATTATTTTCCCAAATTAAAATATTCATAAAGTAAAGGGTATAAAAAATGTAACAGATAAACCTCTTAAAAGAAAGATAATTGCATTCTTTGTAGTTAACCATGAAGATCAACCCTTTACTATTAATGATGTAGAGTTTACAAAGCCACTAGAGTTTATCAAAGAATACAGAATGAGAGATATGTATGAAAGATCTAAAAATAAACAAACTGATGCATAAAATTTCAATTATTGTGAGCATTGAATTATTTTAAAAGCCCAATCAATCAGTGATATTTCATAACTTAATTTTACATACAATATTTATTTTTAGATTAAAAAAGCATTTTATAATTACTTTTTTCGATTTTAGGTTTATAGATAAAAAAATCTTTTAGCTTTAATGTATTTTAAAATGTAGATTTTATTTTCTTCACAAAAAAATTAATCAGAATATTAGCAGTTTTTTAATGTCTTTATTATAAATTTAGCTAAAATCTCAGTAAAAATTTTTAAAGTTTAATTTATTTGTAGTTTTAAAGCAATTTTTATTTATATTTTTAGTAATTCTCAATGCAGTGAATTTCTAGCTATTGCCTTAATGCTAATTGATTTCATTAACAAATAATAGGAAAAGTGTGGTTTAAAATAAAATAGTAAAAATCTAAAATTTGAATATTTATTATATATTTATTCATCAATTAATAAAATAAATTTAAATAGCACTAAGTTTTCCTTAAATAAAGAGAAGATTACCTATGATTATAAAAATAAAAAAAAATTAAAATTTATAAAGAGTAAATAATCTAAGCCTTACATCCAAATATTTTCAAAGGGTATACAAATATTCCTATATTTATTTGTGATGAGTTGAATATTTTTTTTATCTAATATTAGGATATAATATTTGAATAACTTGCATACTCTAATAATATTCTATTTATCCAAAAAATATTCGAATATTTATTTATTATTAAATATTGTTAAAATTTAAAAAAATGTAATTATTATTTGTCAAAATAAATCATTTATTTGATTGATAATTTAATATAATTAAAAATATATTATTATAATTTTCAAATAGAATTTTAAAAACTATCACACATTACTAATTTTTATCAAAAGCAAGCTTTGCTATGTAATATAATTAATTAAAATATAAACAAAATTGAACAATCACACATAATATATTCATTAAACAATTCTAATTATTATTCATGTTAAAAAAAGTGCATTTATTTATTTATCAAAATAAATATTGCGAAAATTTAAGATTAGATTAATTAATAGAAAGTAAGTATTATTGTGTAATAGAATCTATAATAATTTTAAAAATGCGAGTTTGTCATAATCCCTTAAAAACTATGTAATATAATCAGAATATTAATTAAAAACACTGACCTTACAATTTATTGATTTTGTTATCTGATATTAATTTTGAATATCAGATTTAGGATATAATAAGCCACTAATGTTATAAGAATATTTTATTTACTTAATTATACATTTAGATTGGTTAATTGATTTTGGTTAAGACTAAAAAATATCTTTACCTAATATCTTTCCTAATCTTTTATCTTCCTCAAAATCTTTCTAAAAATTTATCAGAAATAAAGTGCGTGTGTGTAAGTGAATTAATCAAAAAAGGAAAATAGAAATAAAAAGTACCTAATTTTATAATCAATTTAAAGAAAAATAATAAACTAATTTGAAAAATTTTTTGATAACATTATGCTTAATATTGATAAAAACAATTATATTTATAAGATATACCTGAATTCAGTGAGTCTTCATTCATATAAAGAAAGTGAGCTTGATAAATATGCACAAATAGATTTACAAGAGGATATAGACGCATAAGCAGAAGAAATAAAAATGAATATTGAAGCAGAAGGAGAAGGATAAAAAGCAAATTAAGAGGCTGAAGGAGTAGAATAGGAGGCAGATTTATATGCTGAAGGACAAAAATAAGAAGAGAATATTGGTGAAGGAGATGAATAAGATTTCAAAGAGAATGAGGATGAAATTTACGAAAGACTGGATTACAAATGCTAAAATGAGGCTAAACAGTTTAATAAATCTATTTATAAAGAAATAAAATCTTAAAAAGCAATTGATGTGTTCATTTTTGAAGAGAATACTGATTAAATGAGTGATTTACTGACACATAATGAGAAATACATAACCTACAAAAGAAAAGATGATCTCTTATAGGCTATTAACAAAGCAATGCTCTATTAAGAATAAAATAATCTTGTTGATTATCACCCTAATGTTAACTCTATAAGCGGAGAAATAAAACTACTTGTTGATTAGGAAATAGAGCAAAGATAAAATTAATTGTAAAATCCCTAAGAAGAAGAAAATTTAAAAAAATTTAACAAAGAAGATATTGTGAAAGTAAGAAATATTGTCCATCAGTCTCTTCAACCTTATCATAAGGATTATACTCAATCTCACAAAAAAAGCGAAATAGAAGAGTATTTTAATAGAGTAAAAAAAATGCAAGGTAGTTATGATTAATGGGGTAAATAATATAAAGCTTCTTTATCTGAATTTTTATGGCTTCCTGCTGTATTTGCTTACTCTGAACAGAATAAAATGTATGAAATTCAAGGTAAACTATTCAACCCTTTGGAAAATTTCCCTGAACTCGATGAGCTTAAGTTAGAATTAGGCCACTTAATGACTTATTTTTCCAAACCCCTTTAGTAAACTCATGACTATTTTAAGATTTTAGGTTATAAAATTTTAAATGAGTATTATGATGATGGTATCAAGATTTATGATGAAAAATCAAAAGTAGATTTTTCTGAAAAAATTCATGCCATAGTAAAAATAAGCGAAATGGAAATTGCTCCTTAAAGCACTTATTCGGGCTAATGGCATGTTGAGGGTTTTTCATCTGATAACATTCTTTACACTTGTCTTTATGTTATTTAGCATGATGAAAATTTGATTGATGGAAGGCTGAAATTTAAAAGAACCCCTCGTGAAAACGATGATCCTTGCGATAGAGAACAAGAAGAGTCTGCTCATGCATACTGCCCTAATTATGATTATTTATGTGATCCTCATAAAGTAATTCCTCTTGGATCTCTCGATATCAAAGAAAATCTGATGATTATTTTCCCAAATTAAAATATTCATAAAGTAAAGGGTATAAAAAATGTTACTGACAAACCTCTTAAAAGAAAGATAATTGCATTCTTTGTAGTTAACCACGAAGATCAACCCTTTACTATTAATGATGTAGAGTTTACAAAGCCACTAGAGTTTATCAAAGAATACAGAATGAGAGACATATATGAAAGATCTAAAAATAAACAAACTGATGCATAAGCTTTCAATTATTGCGAACATTGAATTATTTTAAAAGCCCAACCAATCAATTATACATACATAAAAGCATATATTTTTATTGTTTTTAGATTAAAAAAGCATTTAATAATTATATTTTTACGATTTTATTTTTTATTTGTAAAAAAATTTTTTAGCTTTGATATATTTTAAAATTTAGATTTTATTTTCTTCACTAAAGAAATTTATAAGAATATTTTATTTCGTAAGCAGTTTTTTTAATCTCTCTAAAAAATATTATGTTAAATCTCAGCAAACATTTTTAAAGTTTAATTGATTTGTGGTTTTAAAGCAATTTATATATATATATTTTTAGTAATTATCAATACAATTAAATTTCTTTCTAGCTATTACCTGATTTTATTATATAAAATGGCTAATTGAATTAATTAACATATAATAGGAAAGTGGATGATTTTTTTTAAGACTTAATTTTTTTTTTTTGTATCTAGAAAATCATTTAAAATTTTATAATTTTTGAATAAAATTTTAAAAGTTTTGACTCATTACTAATTTGTATGGTAAGTTTTGCTATGTAACTAAATATAGTTAAGTATAAACAAAAATGAATAATCGTAAAATATTCTCTAAATAATTCTAATATTTATTCATCTTAAAAAAATGCATTTATTTATTTGTTAAGGTAATTATCAATAAACAATTTTAAACTTTTTAGTTTTTCGAAAATTTAAGTTTATACTTATTGAAGTTATTATTTATTAATTGAGATTATAAACATTTTTTAAATGCGATTTTGCTAAAATGCCTTAAAAACTATGTAAACTATTCAAAATTTTAATTAAAAACATTGAAATTACAATTTATTGAGTTTGTTTACTGATATTAATTTTAAATATATCAGATTTAGGATATAATAAGTCTCTAAGGTATAAAGGATATTTATTTTACATATTTATCTTAATTATAGATTAAGATTAATTGATTTTGGTTAAGACTACAAAATATCTTTTCCTAATATCTTTCCTAATCTTTTATCTTCCCTCCAATTTTTTGTAAAAATTTATCAGAAATAGTGTGTGTGTATGACAATGAATGAACATAAAAAAGTATTTGAAATCAAAATTATTCAATTTTATAATCAATTTAAAGAAAAATAATAAATATTTGAAAGTTTTTTTGATAAAATTATGCTTAATACTGATAATAACAATTATATTAATAAGATATACTAGAAATCTGTAAGTCTTCATTCATATAGATAAAGTGAATGTGATAAATATTATTATGGGCAATAACAAGGAGGGAATATTAATGCAGAATAAGAAGTGGATTTAGAGGCTGAAGGACAAAAATAAGAAGATAATATTGGTGAAGCAGATGAATAAGATTTCAAAGAGAATGATGATGAAATTTATGAAAGATTGGATTACAAATGCTAAAATGAGGCTAAAAAGTTTAATAAATCAATTTATAAAGAAATAAAATCTTAAAAAGCAAGTGATGTGTTCATTTTTGAAGAGAATACTGGTTAAATGAGTAAATTATTGACACATAACGAGAAATACATAACCTACTAAAAAAAAGATGATCTCTTAAAGGCTATTAACAAAGCAATGCTCTATTAAGAATAAAATCATCTTGTTGATTATCACCCTAATGTCAACTCTATAAGCGGAGAAATAAAATAACTTGTTGATTAGGAAATGAAACAAAGATAAAATTAATGGTACTATCCCGAAGAAGAAGAAAATTAAAAAAAATTGAACACTGAAAACATTGTGAAAGTAAGAAATATCATTCATCAGTCTCTTCAACCTTATCATAAGGATTATACTTAGTCTCACAAAAAAGGTGAAATTGAAGAGTATTTCAAAAAAGTAAAAAAAATGGAAGATGGTTATGATTAGTGGGGTAAATAATATAAAGCTTCTTTATCTGAATTTTTATGGCTTCCTGCTGTATTTGCTTACTCTGAACAGAATAAAATGTATGAAATCTAAGGTAAACTATTTAATCCTTTGGAAAATTTCCCTGACCTTGGTGAGCTTAAGTTAGAATTAGGCCATTTAATGACTTATTTCTCCAAACCCCTTTAATAAACTCATGACTACTTTAAGAATTTTGGTTATAAAATTTTAAATGAGTTCTATGATGATGGTGTTAAGATTTATGATGAAAAATCAAAAGTAGATTTTTCTCAAAAAATTCATGCCATAGTAAAAATAAGTGAAATGGAAATTGCTCCTTAAAGCATTTATTCAGGCTAATGGCATGTTGAGGGCTTTTCATCTGATAACATTCTTTACACTTGCCTTTACGTTATTTAGCATGATGAGAATTTGATTGATGGAAGACTGAAATTTAAAAGAACCCCTCGTGAATCTGACGATCCTTGCAGTAGAATGCAAGAACAATGTGCTCACACATACTGCCCTGATTATGAACATTTTTGTGATCCTCATAAATTAATTCCTCTTGGCTCTCTCGATATCAAAGAAAATCTGATGATTATTTTCCCTAATTAAAATATTCATAAAGTAAAGGGTATAAAAAATGTAACAGATAAACCTCTTAAAAGAAAGATAATTGCATTCTTTGTAGTTAACCACGAAGATCAACCCTTTACTATTAATGATGTAGAGTTTACAAAACCACTAGAGTTTATCAAAGAATACAGAATGAAAGATATGTACGAAAGATCTAAAAATAAACAAACTCATGCATAAGCTTTCAATTATTGTGAGCATTGAATTATTTTAAAAGCCCAATAAATAAATAATATTTTTAAAATACATATAATATATATATTTTTATCTTTTTTAGATTAAAATAGTATTTGTTTATTCTATTTGAGTTTTATCTCCTCATAACCAAATTTTATTAGATAAAAATTAAAATAAAGATTTTTTAGCTAATATGTAATTTAAAATAAATATTTTATTTTTCTCATAAAAAGAATTTTTTAACAACTTTTTGACACAAAGCAATTAAACTTAAAAAAATTTTTGCTTTGATTTGACCTAATAAAGCATAAAAACTTCTTGGTTTAAAGCAATTTTTATTTATATTTATAATACAGTTAATTTCTAGCTAGCTATAGCCTAATTAATTATTATACAAAATGGCTAATTGATTTAATTAACTTTTTTACAAATTATAAATATTAATTGAATTTTGATCAAAAATATGTTTGAAAGATAAGAATTTTTATAATTATAATAATCAATAAAAAATGTTAAATTCAATTAAAGCCTGATTGTAAAAGCTAACACAACCAATAAATCAACTAATAAGTCATAATTTGTAAAGATAAAATTAATTTAAGGTTTATCCATAAGTAGAATTAGAAATAATTTAGAATTATTATAAAGTGTTAAAATGAGATACAGTACTTTAAATTACTGATATGAATTGAAATAAAATGGTGATGTATATCAATCATCTAAATTAATTAATGTATTTTTCAAAGATTTTTATTAGAATTAGCATTAAGAGCAAAATTTTATGAAATATCTAAATGTATATATAATAAAATTAATTTCTACTTATTCATTTATTCATATAAAAATAATGAGTTCTAATATATGCTTTTTAGATACATCTTCATTTAATTTCTTTTCTTATTAAAAATAAATAGATTACCTGCCTTCTAAAAATTATTGATTATTTATCAATTAATATCAAGACAAAATTAAAATATTGACAAGTAAAAAAATCACTAAAAATGCCTAAAGTTGGTGGAAGAAGAGTAATATTGATTTCTTATATATTCTCTTATTTTTAGCTAGAATAACTACCAAAAGCTAATTATTATAGTAGCATTTAAAAACTTACATTTTTTTATTAAAGAAAAAAACAAGAACACACAAGGAAGAAGGACCTGAAGGGGATGAAATCATTGGAAAGGTCCCTAAATGTAATGAATGCATTAATTAATATAATTTCAAGTTTTTCAATAATGTACTATTATAATATAGCCATAATTTTCAGAAGAGGCAAGTTGAACAAGCCATTAAAGCAAATAGTTTAGGATTATAGAGAAATTATGTATCCCTATACAGCTATGAAATTAAAAGTAATTGGATTAATTTCTAATTTAGTTTAGCACAATCAATGCATTCTTCATAATAATCATCTAATGTATTTTTTTATTGTGTAGGAAACTGATAAAACTAAGATAAAAGATTATTTATCTGCAAGCAAGGTTTATGGCATGACTCATATGACCATTTTAACTTCAACAGAAAATCGTAATATTAAAATTTTTAAATTATATTTTGCTCATAAAGATTAATAATCTAAATTTCTACTTTAAATGAAAAAAAAGATAATTACATTAGATTTATAAAGAACCCTGAAGGACCTACAATTACTTTTAAGATTATCTCTTATTGCACTAGAAGGTAAATAATAATTTATGATATTTAGTTCAATGGTAAATTGTAATTATTTATTTTTAAAAAAGAGATGTTTAAACTGCAAGCAAAAGAAATAAAGCATTTTCAAGATAATTTTAACCTGCTATGCTCATATTAAATGGATTTAACAAACAAGCTACTGCTAGCGTTAGAAATCCTCCTACTCTTCCTTAATAATAAATTGTTGCTTAAATGATTTAATCAATGTTCCCTCCCCTTTCATTAAAAAACGTAATTAAAATTTATATTATTGATAGATAAATTTATACTTATTGTTTATTCATATATATTATATAGACAAAAGCTAATAACTTACAAAGAGTTATCTTATTCAGTTATGACAATGAAAAAGATGTTGTAAATATGCGTCACTATCACATCTAGTTGGTACCAACTGGAGTTAATAAAAATATTAAAAAGATCATTAAGCAAGATAAAAAGACTCCAAACTTAAGCAAATTTAATAGCTTTGCAGACTTTATTCAAAATAAAAAATCTGTAAGTGGATTTGCAAGCGAAAGTGATGCAGATGAGCTTCCTGATTCTAAAATTGATGTTTAACAAAAATCATATATTTCTGGCAAAGACTCTTTCAAAAAGCAATACAACATTAAGTTACATGTAAATAATTTCATACAAAATTTTAAGAAGAAATTAAATGTGTATATGATAATTAATAGGAAATAGGACCTAGATTGAAATTGAGATTATATAAAATTGAAGAAGGTCTCTTAAGAGGTAACGTAGTCTATAACAGAAGAGTTGTTAAGACTGCTGAAGAAGTTGAAATTCAAAGAAAAGAAATTTTACGTAAGGAGCTTGAAAAGGAAAAGCGTAGAAAAGAAATGGAAAAGATACTTAAAGCAAAGGAAAGAGAATAAAAGAAGAAAGTAATATTTTTTTATGGTTTAGTAATTGGTTTATAATGTGTTTCTTTTCATAGATAAAAGATAAGGAAGAAAAAAGAAAGTAAAAAGCAGAAGAGAGAAGGTTAAAAGAAGATGATGGAGAAGAAGAGGAAGAAGAAGAAGAAAACCAAGAAGAAAATGAAAGTGAAATTGATGGAGAGTAAAGCGAATAAGAAGAGTTCGATAATGAAGATGAAGGAGATGACTTTGATCATGATAAATATAATATGGAATTTTCTGATGAGGATTAAAATGGAAACAATAACCAATCCAAATAGAATACACAAAAGAAAGATAAAGCTTAGAAAAAGACATTGACTAAGGAAAATTTTGAATAAGATGAAATAGATTCTGAAGATGAGCTTTAAAATTTAGAGAAAGAGCTCCAAAAGATTCAAAATAAAAAAAATAAGTATTAATATGACGATGAAGACGATTATGATGATGAAGACGACGATGACAATGATGATTAAGATGATGAAGACGATGATGAAGATGATGAAGAAGATGAATAAATTGATGAAGACGATGATGTTGAATATGACGATGATGAAGAAGAAGAAGAAGATTTAGAATAGGAAGAAGAAGAGTCTGATGAAGAAGTAAAAGAACCTAAATTAAAAAAGAAAAATAAAAAGAACTGAAATATAATTAAATACGATCTTTAATACAAACATACCAATATTTATTTATATGTTTTATATTAATTCTTAAAATTAATTTTTAAAATAATTACTCCTAAATTAAAAAAAATAATTTTTATGTAAAATTAATTTTTCTACATTTAAAATAAATAAATAAAATTAATTTTGATTAAAAATAAAATAATTTAAGTTTGAAGATTATTCAATTATTAGCTAGTTTATCCTTTTCAAAAAATATCGTTTTTAAAACAAGCTTTTAATGATTAAATTATTATTTTTTATTCATAACTTATCAATTTTTTTACAATTAAGATATTATTTTTTGTAATTTTTTAGAATTATTTTTAAAAAAATAAAATTTGAAAATAAATCAAATATTTTTTAATCGAGGATGATAGCTTATTTATATTTTTTTGATATTTTTACTTTATTAGAAAATTTTAAGAATAAATTAGATTGTATTCACATTTTTATAGATGCTCTATGACCCACAGAAGATTTAGATCTTTTGGGTGAAATTTTTTTTTACTTTTTGTTTTATATGTTATTATTAGATAGTAATGATGTGTGAGTTTCTTTTCTAGAATTAGATAAGCTGCTTTCCGTTCTCAGCTAGGCTTTTAGTTTGTTGAGATTTTCATTTTATTTAATTAAGTACTAAATTTATTCGTTATAATTGATAGGACTTTTACTTCTACTTTTTTTAGTATTATTGCCATTGCTTGTTTCGACAGTTAAGACATTCTTTTTTAGCTTTGGAGGTTTTTGATTGTGAATTTATTTCTCTTTTGAGGTATTTCTTTCTGTTTTTAAATACTCAGTTGACTATATTCTCTTTTTTTAATTTTATTGGTGGCTATCAACAGATTTTTTATTATTTTTAAGAAGATTTGAGTCAATATCTGTTCTGACATAGTCTTATATGGATATCGGTTTTTGTGTTATTTATTTTTTATCATCAAATTTTAATGTATCTTTATTGCTTAAATTATTATTAATATTCTATCTTTTTTAATCTAAGTAGCTGTTTGAAGCTGCATAATTTTAAGAAAGTACGCTGTTTTCTAACATGCTTTAATTATTTTAATTTTGAGAGTCTTTGTTTTCCTAGTAACTTTTAGTTTTAAAATAATTATTGGCTAAAAAAGGTTATTCAAACTATTTGTTTTCAAAAGAATTATGATGGTTATTAAGTGAGCTAGTGTTAATTCTTTAAGACATTATTGATTATCTAAAGCTAAACAACTCTTTTTTCATAGATTCTTTTTCATTTTTTAAATCTTCCAACTATTTTTGCAAAATTTGTATTTTACTTTCTTTCTCATTTATAATAATTCTTTTTTAATTTAAAATTTCAAATATTTAATGAAAATTCTTTTAAAATTTTTATAAATAAATACTTTTAGGCTTCCTTAATATTTAGAATTTAGGTTTCGTACTTTAATTCAATGTGCTTTTCCAAGGATTATCTTGTATTCTAATGCTCATGAAATAGTCTATTTATCTTCTCTTTATAGTCTTCAATTTCTTCTTTCAGCATCTAATTTTCTTTTTTTAGCCTTCTGTTTTCTTTTTCAAGTAGAAAAACTTTGTCATCAATAATTATGTCTTCATATTTATCTGCACTTAGTTTATTTCCTTTTTTACCAGAAGAAGCTTAGTTATTTTCGTTTTCGAACCTATACCCACTGTTTAATTCTATAAAAAGAAATTTTTAAGATATTATTTTGATATAAATAAATTTACATGCAGTCTATGTGAGCTAAAGTTAATTCATGCCTTGAAGAGACTCAGCAAGATCTTTCATTTATTGAGCGAGACTGTATATTTTTCTTTAAGAATTTTATACTTCATAATCACTTAAAGACTACTATTATGCTAGTTTTGTATATGAATCATTAATTAAATATAACCTATTCCTAAGAGTATTTAATTCGTCTTCTAATTGTGAATTGTTTTTCAAGAAATTGTTATCTCCTCTATTCATAGAAAAAAGCATATTGTTATTTTGCTAGATATTTTAAGTATTATTCAGAGATTTTGTATATTCTAAAGATATTGGTGAATAATTTTATGTTGTAGCCATTTAATTGCCATTCTTTTATCTTATAAATGGACTGGAATTAGAGTTCTCTTCATCTAATTCATCTTCGTCTAAATTGTTCTCTTCGATTTTTATCAATTACTCTTTTTACCCACTTCCTATATACATTTTTTTAATTTTATTTTTTTATTCAACATGCTTATTTCTTGAGCTGCTTTTACTTGAAATATTTTATATATTATTTTTATCAATCTTGCTGCTGCTACTTATTTGAGCTTATTCCTCGAATTAAGAATCATTTGCTTGTGATTTATTTAGAGATTTTGATCTGTTTGTTCCTAAATATTATAAAAATATCTATTTAATATTAACTATTTTGCCTCTAATTCATACTTAAAGTGTTAGAATTCTATGTTTTAATTGAGATATCTCCTGTCCTAGAGGAAGACTAAGAAGATTCTTGCTGCTACTATTGTTATAATTATTATTGCTTTTTTTAGTTTGAATTAAAATTCATTCTTTTTGGGTCACTGTCTATGACCTAACTCTCACTTTCTCCTAAAAGAAGATTATTGATTTTTTCAGTACTTTAATATGTATTTACTACAGTCTTAGATACATTATTGCCCTCTTGAATTTACCATTAAGTAATTCCGCCATTAGAATTTCCTACTTTACTGTTTGTTTAAGCAAAACTTAAAGCAGAATTGTACTGATTTTATCCGCTCTTAAATTGATCATACCCACTAATTAGTAAATCATCTTAGAGAACTTATGTGCTCATTTATATTGTTGGAAATTCTTTTAACCTACTTTTATCTTAAGTATTTTCCTAAATTGCATTTGTTGAGAGCAGATAATTATCAATAATTGGATGATATTCCTTCTATAAATGCTAATTTGTGTTCTGAAAAATTTATCCATTATCAAGCTATGGCACATTCATAGAGTTTAACTTTGCTTCAATATTCTCTAATAATCTATTTGTTTATTCAAGCTATTCATACTTATCTATGAAGTAATCCATTTCAACTAATTAATTTTATATATATTTGTATTGCAGTTTCTAACTTAAATAAAAAAGCACAATTAATTAATTATAAAAGTTCGAATTAAAAATTCAAATTAATGGATTATATGATATTAAATTAACAACTAAATATAAATAAACAACTAAAGCAATTATTATTTGATTTTAAAGCAAAATCATATATATATTTCAACAATTATAATATTTATTTATTTACTTACTGTATCTTATAAGTTTGATAGTTCAAAAATTTTTAAAAATAGGAATACATATTATTTATTCATCAGTGTTTGGAAAATAAAAATTTTAAATTTTATATCCTATCTTCAATTTAACTTTTCAAGGTATTTAAATTAAATATGTTAAAATTGAAATAGATCTCACTTTTTCCTATTAACATAAAATAAAGCAGAAAAAAAAAATTGTTTTTAAGTAATCAAAAAGGTTTCATAATAATTATTTAATTTTAATTGTTAAAATATTAAATACAAATTTATATAAAATATTCTTCTTCTATCAAGATAATTTAAATTTCATAAGAATAGTAAAAAATACCAAAACTTTATTTTTATTTAAAAAAAGATTTTGTTAGATTATTTTTATTTATTTCTTAATTAAGATTTAGGGTTTCTATTAAGATATAAAAGTTCATATATAACTAAATACTTAATATATTATATAATATGTATAAGTTGCCATTTATTTTCATTATTTATATTTAATTAAATAATGTTTATTTTCATTTATTAATAAAATTGCATCATTAAAATTCTAAAATTTAAAATACTAAAATTGATTTATTGATTATTTTGTTATTTATTTATTGATTGATTGATTGTTTGATTAATTTATTTATATATTTTTTATCTTTTTGTTTTTTAATTGAATAAATTCAGGATACTTTAAAATAATTTCATTTTAGTTAGTTAATTAAGTCTCTTTTGGATAAGATAGATTGGTGAATGAATAATATATTAAATAAAAACAATGGATGGCTTTTCAATTTTCATCATCGCTGTTTTATTCGTCAATTTCTCTTTCTTCATAAACTAACTAAATTGAAAGAGAGTTTAAGGTTTTCTTAATTTTGCGTTTCAATATTTTTTTTTATTGTTTTGCAAGTGCATGTTCGGTTTGGTTATAAAATAAAAGAGAGTCGAAATCTACATGTTAGGAGAATTTAAATTTAGAGGACTTTTTTTTGATATTTATTTCCCCATTTTATATGTTATTGTTTTATAAATTAATGCTTTAGTTGTATTAAATGTTATTTTCTTTTAAATATTATTGAGTTATTTGTTCTGCAAACGCCTATCTCTTGGAAGAATCAATAAAATTTTTTAGTGCTTGGTTGTTAGGATAAATGTTTTCGATTTCCAAGAGATCATTCAAGTATTTTTCCAGCTTCATTTGTCTTTTGTACACTTCTTCTAAGTTATCATTAGTACTATGGAATATGCTTCTTCCAGGAAATTCAGGTAGAGTTATAAATTTATTATTATGGCAGGACTTGATTCCAAGATGCAAATTTTTTAATTCACTATATCTATATTAAGATTTCCACTAATAATTAAAAAGAAATTTTATAAAATTAGAAATCAATAAAAAAAAAGTTAAGCTATTTCCGTCTATTAATTTTGATAATAGGTTACAGTTCGACCAAAATAAAATTAATTGGCAATACTAAAAATTAAAGTAAAGTAAAGCTAAGCAAATTAATTAACTATTAATTAATTATTTTTTAATATTTCTAAAAGATCTTTAATTACAAAAACTTCGTAATAAGTGTTTTTTTTAATATCTTTCTAAACAAATTTTTGCGAAAAAAATAAATCTATTAATACCATAAAAATCTAAGTTAAACTTGTTTGTAGTTTGATTTAGTTTTTCAAATAAAAAGGAAGTAAATAGGTAGGTTAATTCTAATTTATAATTTAAAAAAAAATATCTACCTTTAAGTGAGATGTCATATGATAAAAGTGAACATTGTATAGAATAGTGTCATCTTTTCTTTCAAATGATTTTATTTTTACTTGTATCTAGTTGTTATTCATTTTAGTGATACTATCTCTATTGTAGTGGCTTTCAATGCATTCAGACTCATCCATAAAATAAAGGTCATCTTTCTTTTATATAAAATAATAGGTTCAATAAATAAATATATTAATTCTATAAATTTTAATGCTGTTATATTTAATTTAGTATTTTTTTAAAAGTAATATCTGACTATCTTCATCCATTAATCTAGCTAAATATTACTTTTAAATCTATTTATATTCTTATTTAACTATCTATTTGTTAATATTTTTCTAATTACTTATGCTATAGAGTTTTTAGCTGAGTTTTGTTTGTCTTATTTAGCAAGTACATCTACGGATGAAGGAAGTAGCTGACTGACTGTTTATAATGCTTGTACCTAAGTAAAATGAATCAGCTCATTTAAGTAAATCTCTAAATCATTTTTTCTTTGGATAATGCTACTTTCATTTGTATTTGTCTTGCCTAACATCTATTTATTAAGAATGATAATATTGAACAACTTAAAATGCTATTTGAGCTTTTGAAAACCATAAAATAGAAAATATTGCTAAAAGCAGGATTTATATTGTAAAATGTGCATTTTTTAATTTACCTTTCTGCTTGGGAATTCTGGAAGCGCAATTGAAACCCTAAATTTTTCTAATTCTCTTGCTATTAATTCATGCAAATTTCTCAATTCTTTATACCTAAACCTAAGGGATTTTACATTTTTAGAGATCTTATGCTCAATTAATATGCAGTATTAAACGAAGGTAGAGCCCTAAGATTCTTTAGTGACTATATTATAACTAGGAATAGTAACTATGTAAGGACAAGCTAAAAGCATGTGCTTATAAAACACTATTTATTTTGGGTTGACTATGCTTAGAATACTTGTAAGTACTCTTGTTATTAATTAAAAGGTAATCGTTTTGAGAAATATATAATTATTAAATATATAATTGGACTGAATTTAGATAATTTCTGATTCAAAGGTGAGCGCTCTATTCACAAAGAAAAGTAATATTTATGACTGATTTACAAATTTATGTTGTAAATTGAAAAAATTATTAAATAATAAATAAATATATCTTGAAATGCTTATATTTAAAAAAATACCTCATACAAAGAATTTAATCAAATTTAAGTTATAGATAGGTGTAAATTGAATACTTAAGTAATAGTCGGAATTCAATAATAAATAAAATCCTTACACAACATAATAGATATTTCATATCCTTTTATAAATTAATTCTAATACTTAGTGAAAATAAGATGAAAATATTTACATTCAATTATTATTTATGTATGGTATTAAAAATTTATTTGCTTATAATTATATAAATAGTATCCTAGGTACTCTCTAAATAAATTCTACTTAAGTTTAAAAAAATAAAGCAAAAAACTAAAAGTGCTATCTAAAATAAAATATTTTATTAAAAATGATTGATTGATTACAGATATATTTTTAAAATGTTGAGATAATTTTTAAATTTTATGGTATACATTTGAAAATGAATAATCTGGGATATAGAATAACTATAACTAACTAACTAACTAAGTTAAAATTCAAATTTATCTATTTCCAATTCTGATCAAAAAAATATTCATTCATTCTGATTAGAAAAAAAATACTAATTAGCAAAAAAATTACTCTATTTCATAAAACCAGATCAGGAGTCTTAAAAATGCAGAATACATTAAAATGTGTTATGTATTTTAATAATAATTTCTAAATTTTATTTAGAGTTTCAGGTAAACAAAGCAATTTATTTTTTACCTTATTTTTAAAACTCTAAACTAATTAAATTTTGATAAAATATTCATTTATTCTTCATAAACTCTGATCAATTCTTATAAATAATATCTTTATCTTAAAAAGTTTAGTTATTTAATTATTTTTCTAAAAAATATATTGTTTTAATTATCACAGAAATACTTTTATAAAAATATTTTTTAGTTTAAAATTATCTATTGGATATCATCTTTCTTTTTACAAGGTTACCAAAGTAAATTTTACAAATAAATATATAAATAATTTTTATTTTTTTAAATATTTAAATGAATTATCTACTAAAATAGTAAAATTATTTTAATTTGATATTTACTTATAGCTTTTGCAATAATAATTTACTAAATAGTGAAATGATAAGTAATAATAATAAATATCCTTTATAACCAATAAACCTACATTTATATATAAAATGAAAATTAATATTCAAATGTATAGAAGCTTTTATTAAAAATTTGCTTGTTTCTAGTTATATTCTTACAAATTAAGATATAATTTGTTAAATATTTATTAAAATTTTTTTTTGCAGTTTATTTTAGTCTTAAAATTATTTTATTATTTTAAATGAAATCTTCAAAATTTATTAATAATTAATTATTTGTAAATGAAGACTTTTAAAGAAAATTTTGATTCAATTTTATTTATATTTTTAAAAAGAATTTTTATTTTAATTAGAGTTAGCAACTATTTGCCTTTTTTTTCATTTAAAATTTAGCTATTCATTCAACTTCAGTTCATAATGTTTATTATTTAGCTTCTAAATAACAATAAACTCAAAATAATAAATAATTATTTGAGATAATTTAATATAAATAAGAAGAGTTGATTTTTCAGAAGTATATTTCAATAAATAATAAAAGTAGAACTAAATGGGTATTTTAGATTTTGATTTATTTTCATCAGAATTTTAATTTAAGCTAGGAGCTCAACATTACAAAAAGGGTACATTGTAAGGAATTATATTTACTGTATTTATTATTGTTGCTGTTCTTTCTTATTTCATTTACTTGATGTATCTATACTCATATAATTTAATTGATCCAAAATTTAGAGCTCAAAGCTTCATTATGAATAACAGAATAGATATACCTCTCACTTAAAACCTCTTAGGCTTTAGTTTAGCTTATAATTCTTCTATGACAATTGAAGAATATCAAGCATTTTAGAATAAGACTTACATAGTATATATTGTCTAATTTTACTATCAAGATAGCACAAATAAAGTTTATGAATAATTCAATCTTAATCTTACTTAATGCGAGGATCCTTCACTAAGAGGCTACAATTGTATCGATTTCTCTAAAATAAGTAATTACTCAATAATTCTTGATTAATAAAATAATGTTCAGTCTGAATTATTCATTAATTTATATGGCTGCAATGACTTAGACAGCATAAAAACAACTGTCCCAGATAATTGTGCTCCTTAAAGCGAAATAGATAGCATAATAAATGGAATATAGACATCTTTTTATTTAAAGCTAAAAACTCAGTAATTTAACACGACTTCTAAGTAAATTTAAACAAATTACAGAAATATTTACCTTTACGGGCTGTCGAATTAATTCACTTTGAGCACAATAAAAACATAAAAGTAAGAGACTAGGGTTGATAATGGGTTATTATTTTAGACTTAAGAGGTTTATTCTTCTCCTATTCAATATGATTATAATAGCTAAACCTTTGATAGATAGATTTCATTGAATTCAGGACTTGGACCTTACATCTAAATTTCATTAGTTATGGATGAAATTATGCAGTAATTTTAAATTTAATATCCTACTATTACAGAAATTTTAGCACTTGTTAACAGTGTTGCATCTATAATTGTTGTTTTTAGATTTTTAGGAAGAAATTTCTCATAAAAACTAATTTAAGAAGATTTTTTTATGCTTTTTTTGAGAAATTTATATTAGGATAAATATTAACAGATAGCTATTTAAAATAATCTTTTAGAAAAAAACTATGAAATTTCTCTTGAATCATAAGCTTCTAAGTAGGAATTTACTGATGAAATTTAATAAGATTAAAGCACAAAAAATATAAAAATACCGGCTTTAAAAACTAAATCTAGAGATTTTGTTGAAAAGAGCTAATTTAATAATTATCTGGATAACTCAAAATATTTATTCACAAAAAATAATACTTAGATTACAGATGAATAGGAATCAAATAATAATGATATTGATTTAAGAAGTGGTTCAAAACTAAAAGAAGATAAATAAAAACCTAAATAGATTGATAGACTTTTAAATTAGATAAAATTTAATGCTAACAGTTCCACTTTTATTGAAACACCTAAATCACCATCAAAATTTAAAAATTTTTTGCTCTAAAAGAATGAAAATCAAATTGAAAATATGTCATTTAAAAAAAAAATTATTAGGAATGATTGCAAAGCAAACACAGAAATAATAGAACTTTATAAAATCAAAAGCAATGATAAAACATTCAAAAGTATTATTGATTAGAAGCTGAAAGCCTAGAATAGCCTTGCAATTAAACAAGAAACTCAAAAGTTAATATTTAAATTTCAGTAAGTTAATTACATTTTATATTTATTTATCACATAATTAATATTTTAAAAAAGGCTCTTTAAATAAAATAAATTCTTTTAGAGAAAAGGTATTGACCCCTAATAAATTAAAAAGATATGTTAACAAGCCAATTCAAATTTAGATATTTTTGTGTTTTACAAAGACATTATTTTTTTGAAAAAAGCGATTTCATTGCTTTTACGATAAGATTAATTAGCTGCAATATAGTTAGTAAGTCTTACAGATAACTATTTAGATTTTGATTTTAGTTAAGTTGATTTAAAGCCTAACTTCAAAAGTAATATTTATTTTTTCTTAGAATATCTGTTGATATATTATATAAAATAAAAAGAAATCAAAGACAAATTGAATCATTTTGAAAAGCACAATGCCATATTTTAGTCAGAAGAACTTCAGTCTCATTACATATAAAAGTTTCTATTAAAATGCTAGAATGAAAAAAAAATAAGTGAAATAGATCTAAGAATACTTTATTCTATTATTAAAAACTAACAAAAATTTTGAATAAAAACTTAATAACTTAAACTTCGATATTTTTCTTCTAATTATCTTAAATTGCATAATCCTTTTTCTTTCTAGTTTCTCTTGTGATAAATAATATTTTATTATTTAAAATACATATTGAATATATTTGTGCAATTTAATATTTTATATCTTAGATTTTATTTTTTTGACCAGGAATATATCAAATAAATTTTTTAAGATAAAAAATACCAACCAAACGATAGTATTTTTATGCATCCATAAGAATGTGATATTTGGAAGTTTATACCCCCTTTTATTTTTGTTGTTGATGTTAGCTTTAAAACCTTTTATTATTTTTAAATCAAATTTTTAAAACAAATTTATAAATAATTATTCATAAATCAAGATTTTTAAAGAAAATTTTGAATCTATTTTATTTACTTTTTAATAAAACAATTTATTTACTAATTATAGTTGTATTTAAAATTCTTCAAGTTAACTATAAATCAAAATAATAATTGAAATTACTTTAATATTTGTAAATTTATCAATAGCATAAATAAAATTTTATTCAATTTATTATTATTGTATTCAAAAAGTAAAAAAAAACTTGGATATCTAAATGAATCATTTTATTTATATTTTTTATAAATTTTAAACAATATATTGATAAAAATGGCTTACAGCATATTTATGAATTAAGATTTAATTATTTATCTAAATCTCATAACTAAAATATTTTAAAAGTCTTTGCTTGATTAAATTTTATGTTTCTATCTATCTTAATTTATGAAGAATAACAATTTTTAAATAATGCTGGATGATGTTAAATTTATATTAAATAAACTAGAAGAATCAAATAAACAAATATTTTTATGAATGTATAGTGAAATCAAATTCTATTAAATTAAATAAAATCTTAAAAATAATCAGTTATAAAAAAAAAAAATAATTTTTTTATAATTTATTTTCATTTAAAATTTAGCTATTAAACTACAGTTCATAATATTTGTTATTTAGTCTCTAAAATAAATAGATAGTAAACTATATATAATTTAATATAAATAGAAGTTGACTTTTCTTAAATAAATATTAACAAATAATAAAAGTAGAACTAAATGGGTATTTTAGATTTTGATTTATTTTCATCAAAATTTTAATTTAAGCTAGGAGCTCAACATTACAAAAAAGGTACATTGCAAGGAATTATATTTACTGTATTTAGTACTGTTATTGTTCTTTCTTATTTCATTTATTTGATGTATCTATACTTTAATAATTTAATTGATCCATTGTTTAGATCTCAAAGCTTCATTATGAATAACAGAATAGATATACCTCTCACTTAAAACCTCTTAGGGTTCAGTTTAGCTTACAATTCTTCTATATCGATTGAAGAATATCAAGCGCTTTAGAATAAGACTTATGTAGTCTATATTGTCTAATTTTACTATCAAGATAGTACAAATAAAGTTTATGAATAATTCAATCTTAATCTTACTTAATGCGAGGATCCTTCACTAAGAGGCTACAATTGTATTGATTTCTCTAAAATAAGTAATTACTCAATTATTCTTGATTAATAAAATAATGTTGAGTCTTAATTAATGATTAATTTATATGGCTGCAATGACTTAGACAACAAAAAAACAACTGTCCCAGATAACTGTGCTCCTTAAAGCGAAATAGATAGCGTTATAAATGGATTAGAGGCTACTTTTTAAGTAAAACTAAAAGCTTAGTAATTTAACACGACTTCTAGGTAAATTTAAACAAATTACAGAAATACGTACCTTTACGGCCTGTCGAATTAATTCATTTTAAGCACAATAAAAACATAAAAGTAAGAGACTAAGGTTAATAATGGGTTATTATTTTAGACTTAAGAGGTTTATTCTTCTCCTATTCAATATGATTTTTATAGCTAGACCTTTGATAGATAGATTTCATTGAATTCAGGACTTGGACCTTACTTCTAAATTTAATTAGTCATGGATGAAATAGTGCAGTAATTTTAAATTTAATATCCTACTATTACTTAAATATTAGCACTTGTTAACAGTGTTGCATCTATGGTTGTCATTTTTAGAGTTTTAGGAAGAAATTTATCATAAAAACTAATTTAAGAAGATTTTTTTATGGTAGTTTTGAGAAATTTGTATCAGGATAAATATTAGTAGATAGCTAATTAAAATAATCTTTTAGAAAAAAGCTATGAAATATCACTTGAATCTTACAGCTCAAAATTGGAATATACTGATGAAATTTTAGAAGATTAAAGCATAAAAAGCACAAAAAGCATTAAAATACCAAACTTTAAAACTAAATCTAGAGATTTTGTTGAAAAGTGTTAAATTAATAATTATTTGGATAATTCAAAATATTTATTTACAAAAAATAATACTTTGATCGCAGATGAGTAGGAATTAAATAATAATTACTGTGAACTAAATGATTTAAGAAGTGGCAAAAATCTAACAGTAGATAAATAAAAACCTCAATAGTTGGATAGATTTATAGATTAGACAAAATTTAATGATAATATATATAACTTAGCTTTTATGAAAACACCATAAACAGAATCAATATTTTAAAAGAATGAAAATCAAATTTCAAATATGTCTTCAAAAAAAAAAACTATTAAGAATAATTCGCAAAAAAATATAGGAAAGATAAGGCATTATAAAATTAAAAGCAATGGTAAGACTTTGAGAAGTACTATTGATTAGAAGTTGAAGGCCATTAATAGTATTGAAATTAAAAAAGAAATTCAAAATTTATTATTCAAATTTCAGTAAGATTATTAAAATATTTTTTTATTTTAAACATTTTTATTATTTTAAAAAGGCTCTGTAAATCAAAAAAATACTTTTAGACAAAATGTATTGACCCCAAATAAATTAAAAAGATTTATTAACAAGCTAATACAAATTTAGATATTTTTGTATTTTACAAAGACATTATTTTTTTGAAAAAAGCCATTTCAATGCTTTTACGATAAGATCAACTAACTGCAATATAGCTAATAAGTCTCACAGATAATTATTTGGATATAGATTTCAGTTCAGATTAATTATAATCTAACTTTAGAGGTAATATTCGCTTTATTTTTAGAGTATTTATTGATATATTTTATAAAAAAAATAGACATCAAAAGCAAATTGAATTATTTTGAAAAGCACAATGCCATATTTTAGTCAGAATAATTGCAGTCTTATTACATATAAAAATTTCTTTTTAAATGCTAGAATGAAAAGAATTTAAGTGAAATAGATCTAAGAATACTATTTTCTATAATTAAAAACTAACAAAAATTTTGAGTTTTGTTAAAATATTTATAACGAAAACTTAATAATTTAAACTAATGATTTTTTTCTTATAAATATATTATATTGCCTAATGCTTTTTTCATCTTAAATTTCCCTCAGGATAAATATAAAATAATGCTATTAGTATCAATAATATATTCATTCTATTTCTCTAATTACATATTTATTTCATAGATTTACTATTTAATTTATTGAATTAAATTTTAAAGATTTTTAATTTATTTAACAAAAATGTAAAAAATTTGTAAAAGTAACTAAAATTGTTAGAGTAATTTTAATGAAATAATACTGATTTATTATTTTTTCTTAAAATAATTGTAACTCTCTATATAATTTTAATTTATTTATTAAAAACATAATCAAGCTTAACCAAAAAAAATAATTGATGACTTTTTAATATTTTTCTTATTAGTTAGTTAGTGTTTATAAAATTGAACTAAAAAAAATAATTTAGTATAAAGAAAATTTCCAAATTAGGTTTTAAAAATAAAGTGATTAGACATATTCCACTATTACCAATAAGCTCAATTAATAATTATTATATTAAGATAGTATCTCAAATATTTAAGCAGTTAAATTTTTATGACTAACTTTGACTTCAAGAGTAGAGTCTAAAGATGGTGAGGGGATGGAGGCGGTACCCTTAATTAATAAGAAGTTAAAGTATTATTATAAATTATGAATATTATTATTAATAATAACGAATTTATAAATAAATATACACAAATCTTCAAAATATTTTTTAGTTTTATTCCTCAAATTTTTTTATTTGCCATTTACAGATTTATGTTATCTAAAGATTTGTGGAAAGCAAAAGGATTTTATTAATAGAACCTTTTAGGTCAAAGAAAATCAGCTATGAGATATGATATTAAATGAATATTTATTACGTCAAGGCTCTTATAAATTAGTGAATATTAAAAGTTTTACCAAAAGATTATTTCATATAAAAATGTATGAGAAAATATTTATTAATTTTTAAGAGAACATTTAAAATTGAACGAATTTAAAAAAGAATAAAAATATGATTATAAAGCTAGTTAGTAAATAGAATTTAAATAATTTATATTATAATTTTCATATTATACTTGACAATTAATATTAAAGTAAATTATATTTAATCAATCAATCAATTTTATTTTATCTCATTTTATTATGGGATTTGATTAGATAGCGTTCTTTTATTATGAGGAAATTTTTATAAAATTTCTCCATTTAATTATTCTTCTTTTTCATTTGTTTATTATATTAGACTTTAAGTCATTGCCCTTTGATTTTATACAGCTTTGCTTTTATTTTGATCATCAACTTTTTATTTATTATTTGAATTTGATTAAGCAGATCTAATTCCAAATAGATTATTATATGCATTAAATTTGTCATCTACTGGGCTGAAATGATTATGATTTAATTCATTTTAAGGAGAGTTTTCTTATTAAATATGAGAATGAGGAGAAGCTGATTTTGAGCTTTGTTTTTAATTTATTTTAGCTTCAGTAAACTGAGAGGGAGATTATTATTTTTATTATTCCTAAAGCTGTTGCTATTGTTAAGAAGGAGAAAATGCCTAAACTTAAGGATAGGATTTTGGTGAATTTTAACTACTTTTTATTTGCTAACTAGAATTAGAATTATAATAATAATCTGTTTCTTCTTTGTGGTTTTCAAAATAAGGATGCTCCAGAGATGAAATATATTATTTCTCATCTGTTGATTCAAATTAAATATTTTTTGTATATGAATGTGCAGGAGAAATTTATTATTCGTTAATTGCTTATTAGAGGGCTTTGGGATCATCAAATTGTTTGTACATTTAAAGAACACTTCTACTTAATTAATCATTAGTTGATTCATATTTTTCTATTTTATTAGTAGTATTTGTAGCGTCTTAATTACAAGGGGAGCTTTCTTAATTTTTTACTTTTTGAGTAGTTTTTTAGTTTATATCTCCATTTGATTTACCAGAGACAGCAAAGAACTACCTTTCATCTTCAATTTAATCGCAAATTTGTTCATCAACTGATTTTTTTTACTAAATACGTAGGGCTGATTAATCACTAACAGTGGATACCTCTGATATAGATTACTTTAATTAAGGTACATGCTAAAGAACATGGTTATTTCTTTCAAATGATTTTTATAAATTTTAATTCTAGTTTAGTTGTCTAAATTGCTATGTTTGAACATGGCTATGGAACATTCTATAATTTATAGATTCGTCTTCTTACTACTCTTGGTTATTGTTAATTTATTCTTAAGATTCATTACATATTTCGTTAACTTCTTAAAGAGATTATTCGCTAGCTTTATCTCTAACTATCTCATTTCTTTGTCTCTATAAAAGCTGAATACCCTATTTTAATCTCTTGATAACATTGTCTTTTTCTTCTAGCTATTATTTAAATTACCCTTATTAATTTCTATAAAGCATGTCTAGCTCTCTAAAATCAAGTTTCTGATTCTTTACTTGTTATTACAAATTTGCTACTTACTCTTCATATTCCTTATTGTAATGCATTTATCTTTTGTTTGCTCTTTCATTTAAAAATTAGAGTTTGCTTTAAATATCTTCATATTCTATTTCATTTATTTCATACTTCTTTTTTAAAGCCTAATACTGAATTATTATATTGTTTTTTTCAACTTCCTGCTATTGCATCTTTTATGCATTTTAATTTAATTCATTCATGGCTAATTTTAATGAACTCTTTAAATCCTTTATTTCTTTAAGATAGTGTTCTTCCATAATCTTGAATCTATTTTTCTATTATTTTATACAATTCTTAACTGCTTTATCTAACATTTCTGCTCCACAATCGTATAATTTATATTTTTCCCTTTTAAAATTATTAATAAAATAATTTTTCATATATTGTTTAATTTTTTCTTTTTTACATTTCTATTGTCCTGTTTAAGTCTAATAATATCTTTTAAATTGCTTCCTTTTTCAAAGGCTCCCACTATTAAAACAATAATGGATGAAGATTATCAGGTTAAACTTTATTATAGATTGTATCTCTTAAACTAAATTTATCTCCATCACCTTCTATAATAGATTTAATATTCAAATGAATTATACAAGCCATCGCTCTAGTCATGATATCATGCTGTTATTTTTAGTAATTAAAATTAAAAATCTTTAATAAATAATGTAAATTGATATATAAAACACTTTTATTTAAAGTGCTTATTTTTAAAAGTTAATTACAGTCCTGTTTAGTAGAAGAAGTTCTATGATTTGAAAGGCACTTGATAAATTTAGCTAATTTAAGAAAAAGAAATTATATTAAAAGTAGAGATATTTTCTTGTGAAGGCAACTATCCTTTCTATTTATTGAGGAGTCGGATCTTTCTTCTTTTGGAAGTTTTCAAGATAAGTGAAAACAACATGTTTGACTATGGAGCAGTAGTTCACTTCTTTTTTTATTTAATCTGGATGAATAATATCAACATAAAAGAAGTGATATATTTCTTTCATGATATAGAAAGATCTTTTTATTGAACAAAAACAAAGAAGAAAGAGGGCTAGCATACCATGTCCTCTTAAATATATTTTGTCTTCTGGTGATTTTTTAGAGCTCAACATATAAGAAATAAAAGATTTTAGCAATATTAGCTGGTCTTATTTAACCTTATCAGGCGATAAATCATTTTAAACTGTATTCAAAAACTCTCCAAATGACTTATTCATATATTTTCTGCTATATATCTCATCTTCAAATATTTCTTTTTCAATTAATTTCATTTCCAAATGATCCTTATAAATAGTATTAGACATCTCCACGCATTGCTCATAGCTATCATCAAACCTATTTTAATATTTGAATTTTATTTATATTTTTGATCATTTCTTTATTCACTTTTTTTATCTAAACAATATTCCTTTGAATTTAAAATAAAGTAAATGATTCTTTCCTCAAAAAGATCATTTCCAAATTATTAAGGCATTTTAATCCTAATATTATTAGTTGATTGAAACTTTATTTCATTTTGCTAAAAAAGTATTATAAATCTAAATATTATTTTATTTATTTGTTGGCGGTCTATTGAAATTTATTAAAATAATAAAAAATAATTATTATATCTGATATTACTCTTTTTTAGGATCTATTATTGAGAAATCCTACTTATAATCATTTGAACACCAATTAATAGAAGAAACACTATCTTTGCCCCATTAAACTGTACTCTATGATTAAATATTATAGATTTAAGCTTTAAAAGTCTATAATAATAATTTTATTTGCTATCTATAGCGATAATAAAAAAAATAGAATAAATTTTTGATATTTACATCACTTAATATATTTTATTGGTAAATCAAATCGCTAAAGCAGCATTTGCCTATGTTGTTTGAGTTAAAAAGCTTCTTCTGGTTTGGAGTAACAAACTGTTTATTTTATAATTCATTTAAATTACTTTTGAATAAATTTATTATTTTTAAAAATGATCAAAAATGGAGAGTATCTATCTACTTTTGATTCCACTTTAAAACAGCTTTTGCAAGAAATCTGACTGCATCTTGTGCACTATTTACATGATACTAATGTATTCTTTTTTAAACAAAGAACACATTTAACATATCCATCGTTAGAAACTTTAGATTGGTTTTAATCTATTTTAGTAGTTTACTACTACTGCTATTATTAACTATTACTACTTGATACTTAACTCATATATTAAATACACTATCTTTTATATGATGATGATTTATATTTTTTAATTCAATAATTTTGATGTAGAGTAAACCAATTTTTTCACACTTTCTTCAATCAATTTTTTGATGTATTAAATTATTACATCATTTTTTTATTGATCGTAAAATATCAAATTTACAATTTTACCAAGATAAGCTATTATTTGAATAATTATAATAGGAGATATAAGCACCTTATATAAAGATTCTTGGACATAAGGTATTTACTTGATTAATGCTTATTTTAATTTTAAACAAAACTAACATTTATCATCCAATACATTTAATTTAATCT